TTACATTGGTTAATACAGTAAAGGGATAATCCCATAAAGAAGCGAGTGGTAATCCTATAAAGAGTAGTTGTATAATCGGATATTTACACTCTGGATTAGGATTATCCTTCAGATCACCAGTGTTTCCATGACTCTCTGTTCTTTCCCTCGTGGTTTTGCAACTTGGATACATGTAGCACGTGTCAGATGAATATCTAAGTATATCTGCACAAACAGGAAGACGTGGCACGTGTCTGCAAGTCTTTGTGATGTTGCTTTTCTCGTATACTGTGAAAGTTGTCATTTTGGTTAAGTAGTAGTTTATGATTTGATATGCTGTGTCATTGCTCATCTGATTGTGAGCGTCTAAACCTCCCGAACATCAAACAGAATGACTTAAATACTATTTTACTGCCTCTGAAGTCGTCATCTTCCAACTTCTCCTCCCTGCTTTAAGCCCTCATTTCTTCAGAGAGCGTTGGCTCAGTCGCCTGCTTCACTACAGAGACGTGTTGGCTGATTAGGACGTCTCAACTGAAAACTGAAAATATGTGTGTACAACGTTTGGTATGTGGATTGTGTCTATGAGCAGTTACTTATTACAGGTGATTGGTTGTTGCAGCTTATTGACAAGATAACAGCCTTTTGTATGGAGTCTACATTAGTGTGGGAGCATTTATCTGATGTATTTATTGTGTCGGACCATCAGTCGACCTTTTGTCCAGCTGTCTGTGGGGGTTGGAGCCCCTCCATACTATAGGGTGAGTCCACCCTGTGCAGTCATACAGCTAACACAGAGAAACAGTCGCACACACACCTGCAGAATCACAGAGTGTAACCTAAATGCATATTTAACCTCCTAAGACCTGAGTGCGTTTTTAATTTCTCTGTGCCGTTTGGGCTGATGGGCACCTGATGAATGTGAAAACAAAGAATTACCTGATTTTTGTTTCTGAGAAAAATGAGATTCACATAAGAGGACATTAGTTTTAAATTTCAATAGAACAGTGGCAGCATAACGTCCTCGTAAGTGGACATCAGGCCCTTGCAGAGACACTACACATTAGTGGCAAAACACCAGGACCTGAAAAATTCAAAGAACAAAGGTTACGCCCTCGTCTATAAGTGTATAAGGAATCTTCTGAAGGTGGTTTTATTCAAAGTTTCTTATATAATATAAGAATTAGAGATGCAACGATACCAATTTTTTCAAACCGATACTTGGATCTGAGTACTTGCCGATACAGAGTACAAAAACCGATACTTCTACCACACACACACACACAAATGCAATGAATTGGAAGACAGGTTTTATTTTATTCTCTGCCGATAAAAAATAAAATCTTAATAAAAATGACCACAAAAAAAATTTCAAGTGAAAAATAAGCACTTCTGTTAAATCATTGCGGAGTCTCCACAATTTAACAAAATATCACTGAACTATTGGCACTGTCTCGAGCTTTCAGAATAATAAATAAACACTTCTGTTTATTTATTATATTTCATATCGCGGCTCGAGTATGCTGAGAAGACGGTTCAATCCTATGTTTTCCACGACCGGCATTGGCTGGTCATCCAGAGCGATAAAATGAGTCAGAGCCTCTGTTATTTAAACTGCCCGTGGATTTTCTCTTGACATTTTTCATCGCTTTTCCAAAACCTGAGTTAAAGCTGAGTTGTTTAGCCTAGCTACAGCAGCCTCCAGTTTCTCTTTTTTATCTGGAGCTGCCAGTCTCACTCGTCTAACCCTGTGCCTGTTTAGCGCGGGATGTCCCCCTAGTGGCCAATCTAAAAAACGACAACAGAAATGACAATCCACCCTCTGACTAATGAAATAAGTTAGTATCGGTTCATGGTATCGGTTTACTTTTATGAGTATGAGTACACACACATTTTACAGTATCGGCACCGATACCCGATACCAGTATCGATACCAGTATCAGTATCGGTGCATCCCTAATAAGAATTACTACACATAATGTCAGAAAACTCTGATACTAAAGATACTTGGATATCATTGGATGCTAAACAGGCCTTCGATTGGTTCCATCTAATTTCCCAGATTGGGTTTTGGTTTGTGTTTCTCAAGAGGATCAGAATTTTACACACAGAGCCGATTGGCAAGCGTAACAAATGGAAGGACTTCTAAACCAATAACAGCGACCTACCCAACAAGGGTGCCCTCCTCCACCAGTGCTGTTGGCCCTCGACCTGGAGCGCTGAGATACACCGAGCTTTGACTGGAATCCAATGAATGACAAGCACATCTTATATATCTCTACCCCGATGATGTTCTCCTCTTCTTATCAAATCTGGCAGTATCTTCAACCTCATAAAACAAAGTGATGCATTTGGACAGTTTTTGGAATAAATTATACAAAATCATCAGTGGTCAGCACTGTTGCCTCACAGCAAGAAGGTCCTGAGTTCAAGTCCACCATCAGGTCTTTCTGTGTGGAGTTTGCATGTTGTCCCTGCCGTGTGGCTGCTCTCCGGGTACTCCAGCTTCCTCCCACAGTCCAAAGACATGCAGTTAGTGGGGCTTGGTTATTGGTAGCTCTGAGGTGCCCATAGGTGTGAGTGTAAGTGTGGATGTTGTCTTAGTGTTAGCCCTGCAGCAGACTGGCGACCTGTCCAGGGCGTAGCCCGCCTCTCACCCTGAAACAGCAGGGATAGGCTCCGCCTCCCCACGACCCTGGAAAAGGATCAATGTTATATTTGCATCAAGAGGAAAAAGATTCTCAAATAACAAAATCACTGTTTAAAAATGCAAAAGGAGGATTCATGTTTTAATTCATGTTCATGATTTTTTAAGAATCAAAATTGAACCTGATATAAAAACAACCATTTGAACATTTTAAGGATTCACCAAAATGTTTTTTCTTTTATCTTTCTTTCTTTCAATTTTATTTATATAGCGCCAAATCACAACAAAAGTCGCCTCAAGGTGCTTCATAGATACAGAGAAAAACCCAACAATCATATGACCCCCTATGAGCAGCACTTTGGCGACAGTGGGAAGGAAAAACTCCCTTTTAACAGGAA